TCTGTTTTACTTAATGAAGAAACAACACTTCATAGAAAAAATGGGGATAGTAGATTTTTACATTAAGTCCTATTTTTTACATATTTGTTCTCATTTATCTTTTCCTTTTGAATTTCTCAAGTATGCTATTATCAAAACTTGTAAGTTTATGCCAAGGAATTGCCGCTATTATTTTTGCTTATTGTTTGCCGAGCTTAGAAAGTAACACAACAAACAATAAAAAGAAAAAAGACAATAGCCATTGTAAAGAATGTTAACGGTTCATTAAGCAATTCACTTTATTTTTTTAATTTTACATTTCTAAGGTTTTTGTGGTCACACTATTTCCTTCATATTAAACAAATGAAACATTCCTCGATTGCATCAAGATATTAAAATTAGTTTGGTAAGCATAGCCGACTCACCAAAACATATTAAGGAGTTTAATGTAAGATTTTAGTTTATGGATCTAATTAACATGTCGTTAAAGGGTTTCATTGGCATTCTAAATGATTGATTTGCAACATTGAGAAGATCCAACACCTCTCATTGATATCGATCACATTGCTTAGCAAGGAATCAGACAACATTTTTCAAAAGTGAGGTTGAGCCATAAGCGCCATATGATTTTCTTTTTGTTTAGGTCATTTACTTTGTCACTATCATATGTATTTCTATATTTTCTTGTCATAGGATAAGCATATCACACATATCATATACAAAGCTCTCATTTTTGTCGACAACCAAAGCCACATTAAACTATTTCTATTCACAACCAAAATAAACTCAACTATCTATTAAAAAATTAATTTTTATCTCTTCTACATATACAATCAAAGTATCTGGAAAATTTACACCCATTAGCAACTTTATCCAATCAAATCCAATCCAATATACTATATAAAAATATATTAATAAAAATATCAGAAAAATATATCAATAGTGATATCGTTTTGTAGATAATTGTTTTCTACAAATTTTAATATATTTTATTTATTTATATTATAAATATATCATTTAATTATTGATAAAGTACATATATTAAAAACCTAAATTAAAAGGAAAATTAAGAAATAAACAAGTGACAGAGAGAGGGAGAAAGTTCAACTATATGTTTGGTGGACCAAACCATTGTTGGGTTTTTGTGATTATTTAATTTCTTTTTAATTGTTTTGCACAACGAACCAAACTTTTAATCGCCATGAGAATGGTCTTATAACAAGTATCATCAACAACTATAACTATAACTAGAATCGGGACACACAAGAATACAATTCACTCATCAACTATAACTATAACTAGAATTGGGACACACAAGAATACAATTCACTACATAAAGGGTGGACATTACACAATACTATTTTAGTAGACAAATTATCTAGTTTTGTTCTATTTTTTCCTCTCTTTTAAAAATCTAAGGATGATCGTGGGACGGAACCGGTACCAACCAGTATCGGTTCTGATTTTTCAAATACCGAGTTCGATCTAAATTCAATCCTAAGTATCGTACGTAATTAACGTTATTGGTATCGGTACCGGGAATGGTACAGATTTTCGGTACTAGTACCGGTTCCGATGGTACCGAATCCCAAATTTCATGATTTTGGAGTACCGAGTATCATCCCATATTTTTAAATTCGGTACCTGTTTCGGTATGAAATCAGGATTTTGTATAAACTGCTCATCCCTAATAGAATCTAGAGTCATATTGTCACACCCCCAAACCGGAACGGCGGAAACGTTCGGGGGCGGAGGACGTCATATGTAGTATCACAACACATGCATCATAGTAATCGAAGTAACAAACAACCATTGCATTAATATTAAAGTGTTTACAAAGTATGTGATTCACAAAAGATTGACTCCAAAAGTATATAACAAAACAAGACATGAAGCTACTATACTCCATCTTCTGAATCTCAGAGCGCGTACCTGTCTACTAGTTTCCTGAGAATACAAGTTATTTTGAAAGAGTAGATCAGCATTTAAGCTGGTGAGTTCATAAGTATTTTAGTTATGAAAGTAAACTGTAAGTTCTTTAGAAAAGTTCGCTTGTTCCTCCAAAAAATCCTATATTTTCTGATGTGGTGAAAGATAAGTAAAAATGACTCTACAATCCCTTCTATGAGTATTAAATGGATACGAGTTATATACAATCTAGAGTAAACAGACAATCGATTGTGTGAATCTGCCCTAAACCCACAACCAAACAAGGAACAGGAAGTAAGGCGGAAAGCACACATCCCATTGTTTGTTAGATCTTCATTTTATATAACTCTGGCGTATTCATTTGGTACTTACGGAGTTAACTGTAATAGTTCTTTATATTTGGTGAAAACGTTCTTTAAGAAAATCATATATTTTCTTTAGTAAAAATGGTAACCACAATAGTTCCTTCTATAATCACTTAGTTTATACTAGTTATATATAACCTAATATCGAACGGACAGTTAAATGGGTGAATCTGTCCTAAGCCCACAACCAAACAAGGAACAAGAAGTAAGGCGGAAAACACACATCCAATTGCTTGTCGGATATTAATTATATATAACCCTGATGTATAAACTAAGGTATTATAGAATTAACCACTAAAGGTCCTTTAAGTTATACTGGTTTAATAATGTTTATCAAACCCTTTTACGGATGAGTCTCTAGTTTAGCCTACTTAATGTTCTATCTGAAAAGTATGTTTTTGTACTAGAAAACGGTATATTGAATTTGTATACTATGACCTGA